CCCCCATAACACGGTAGATATGTTCCATGTTTTATGAAATTCCTGTTGTACGAGTCCTTAAATACATGAGCCAATCACAGCCCAGCACATGTGCAGTTTATGGACTACGGCTGTTTGAAAGGTTTTCTTCTGTAAAATTAATCGATTCTAGACTAATTTGACTCAACATTTCCAAAACATGTATAAGTTTTTGGTAATAATCCATATAAACTATGCCATAAACAAAAAATTGTAGGATTACTTACCAAGTGTGCACTGTTCGACGACGCCATTGCTTAAGCTTGTTTTCGTCGTGAGGCAGTGCATCAAACAGGGGCGCGCATGTTTCCTGATAAATTATTTTTCTGTGAAAAATTTGCTGAACTTTGGAGACATCATTAATATAAATATAATTTTTATGACCGTTAAATAATAAATGATTTTTAGTAGGTCCGCTGCTCGTTTAAACTCAACGGTTTGTGCAATATCCGCTATAGGTCTAGATTTGACCAATCCTGTTGCGACACAAGTTGGCGATGACGTCGTACCGTATCATATGAGTCTCTTTTAGCGTGTTTATACAAATATGATCGCAATTTTTTTACCGTTATATATGAATCCATATTATATCAACCCATTTTATAGGGGGTCTACTATATTTATGTTTATATTTTTTATTAATAAATTAATATTGTTTTATTTATTTTTTGGATGTTTGTAGTTATGCNCCTTTAAAATAATTTTGTTCTAATCTTATCATTAAAAAATATTTTAGTTGCATTAAATATTTTTTCTTTTAGCTTGTTTTATTTAAATCTCAAGTCGAAAATGCCGAAGCAAAATCACAGCAATTAGAACAGACCTTCACCGAAAATAAAGTAGCATGGGAAAAGAGAGAAAAGATGTTTCAAAATGAAATAGAAGCAATTAAAAAGAAATGTGAAGATCTTAACAACAATAATACTACATTATTAAATCAGCTAGAGCTGGTATTTATGACAGTCATTTAAAATTTATTAGAATATAGTATTATAATGTTTGGTCTTTGTATAAAATTTAAAATTATTGTGATTAAATTTTATCTACATCAGTGAATTAGGACTTCAAATAATTTAAATTCTGAAGTACTCTTTGCTAATATTTTACTAGAAAATGAATGTACAGTCGACCCCCCCCGTAACACGGTAGATACATTCTGTTCTTTCTGAAATTCATTTTTTACGAGTCCTTAAATACACGAGCCAATCACAGCCCAGCACGTATGCAGTTTACGGACTACGGCTGTTTGAAAGGTTTTCTTCCATAAAATTAATCGATTCTAGACTAATTTGACTCAACATTTCCAAAATACGTATAATTTTTTGGTAATAATCCATATAAACTATGCTATAAACAAAAAATTGTAGGATTACTTATCGAGTGTGCACTGTTTGACGACGCCATTGCTTAAGCTTGTTTTTGTTGTGGAGCGGTGCATCGAACGGAGGCACATATTTTTCCTGATAAATTATTTTTCTGCGAAAAATTTGCTGAACTTTGGAGACATCATTAATTAATAGAAATGATTTTTATGGCCATTGAATAAGAAATGTTTTTTTCACAAGAAATGTATAAAATTACAGTACTGTATTAGACTTACTGTACCTAATTTATATACTGTACAGACAATAGTAAACTCAACTTTCCCACCTAAACTCTCCATAGCGTGTAAGTAGTTTGGCTGCTCATCCACTATTGGTCCAGATTTGACCAATCCTGTCGCGACACAAGTCGGCGATGACATTTTACCACATTTTACGAGTCTCTTTTAGCATCTTTATACGAATACGGTCGCAATTTTTTGACGCAATATACGAATCTGCATTATATGAACCCGCGTTATGGGGGATCGACTGTACTCTGATTTCTTTTTCATTATGTTTTGTTCAGCTTTGAATTTTTAATAGATTCTGAAATATAGTTTTTTATTTATAAAGTTCTATAATTTATTATTTATTTCTTAACGTTTTATTCTAATAATCTTATATATACACTCTTTGACATAAAAATCAAAGCAGTTGTTAAAATATATGTAGAACTTTCAATTTCAGTATGCAAATACATTCTAATTATACATGGAAATTTTTACCAGCAATGAATGGTCAGATCATTAAAATTAAAATTTTCCATAACATTCTCTATATAAAGGTCATCAGACACTTAATATGACATTCTGACTGTATTTATCTGTATAAGCTGGGTAGTTTGCCAGTGATAATGTCTTGAAGACATACTCAAGTTCCCTATTACTACTTAAGTTACTTTGAGAGAGATTGTGTCATTGAAATGTGAGAGGTTAGCTTGCTCCAAAGAATAGCAGTACAAGAGGGCAATGACAAATTCTGAAAAGAATCTAGTAGGCCCAGGAAAACTGCTACAGAGAATAGTTGGATAATGAGACAAGTCCAGAATAATCAGTTTTGCTTTCAACCATCTTGCTCTATTTACAACATTTTGTATAAACCATCTCCACAAGATGCTTTGTGGAGACAGGACTCTGCCTTCATTACTACCCCTTATGATATCTTCCATTGACTAGACTTAAGGAATTAAAGGTAACGTTGTCTGCAGTGGAACCATGGCTGGCAGATCCATGTCTATCAGTCACAGTATCACTGTAGACAACTTTGGACAGGAGAATTGAATAATGTTGTGTTTAGTGAGGAATCTCATTTCAATCTTACCACAGACAACCATTATATTCTTTTTTGGACAACCATTATATTCAAACTACAGTCTGTTATAGAGAAACAGAATTCCTGGTATTATGGTGTAGAGAGCAATTTTCTATGACATATGATCTCCCCTTGTAGTGATCAGAGAAACCTTAATGGCACGGGCATACATTTGAGAGATTTTGCAACCTGTTGTGTTGCCTTTTGTTGAATGCTTGAGATGGGCAACTTTCCAGCAGCACAATGTTCAGCACACTACTAGTGCTTCTCAAGAGTGCTTTCATCATGTTCAAACTTTTCCTTGGCCTAAATTCTCCCCAGCTTTTCCTCCAATTGAACATGTCTGAGATATGTTTGGGTATCATTTGAAGCTATATTGGAATCTCCAACATTTTGAACAGCAGTTATAACACACTTTGGGAAGATCTGTCACAGAACAATTTCCAAATCTTGTTTGTCTTCATGCCAAGTTGTATTTCTGCATATATTTAGATTTATTAAATACCATTCTGTATGATCCATTTATATAGCTATTGGGTTGTTCGGAAAGTTTGTAGTGATTTTTGATAGCTGACAGTTGAGACATTGATTAATGTGAAAATGATAAGAATTGTACAAACCAATGAATATTATGATAAATGACCTTGAGACATGTCTGTTACAAAAAAAACCGTTAAGATTATTCAAATATCGTTTAATTTGTCTCATTGCAAATATGGATGCAAACAACGTGCATTATTGACACTTGTTTTTTTTATCGTAAAGGAAAAAATGCTGTACAAACAGCTAAAAAGATATGTGATGTTTATGGTGAGAGTGCTGTAGGAGAATCAACTGTTCGAAAGTGGTTTGCAAAATTTAAAGCAGGTAATTTCAGCCTTGAAGATGCTCCCTGCTCAGGAAGACCTCCTGTTATTGAAGAGGACCAGATCAAAGCATTATTGGATGAAAACTCTCATTATACAACTCAAGAAATTGTAGACAGTGAAGTCATAAAACAGTACCATATTTCAACATTTAAAGAAGCTCGGATATGTGAATTGTTACGACATTTGGATACCTCACGACTTAACAGAAAATAACTTACTACATCACATCTCCATTTGTGATTCTCTTGAAAGACGAAATGAAAATGACCCTTTTCTAAAGCATTTAGTGACAGATGATGAAAAGTGGATCATTTATAACAACATCAGCTGAAAACAATCATGGGGTAAGAAAAAGGAACCACCATTAAAAATTCCAGAGGCCAGTCTTCATCCAAAGAAGTTCATGCTCACAGTCTGGTAGGATTGGAAAGGAATCCTGTCCTATGAGCTGCTTCCACAGAATCAAACAATTGATTCTGATAAGTATTGTTCTTAATTGGATAAACTGAACATGGCAATTAAAGAAAAACATCCATAACTGGCCAATAGAAAAGGCATTGTGTTTCACTAAGATAATGCCAGACCGCACACATCTTTATGAACACGCCAAAAATTATTGGAACTGGGCTGGGATGTGTTACCTCACCCCCATACTCACTCAATCTTGCCCCATCGGACTACCATTTGTTCCATTCTCTGCAAAATTCCCTTTATGATAAAAACTTTGACACTTTGGAAGCTTGCAAAAACCATGTGGATCAGTTTTTCGCGGGAAAACTGGAAAGTTCTACGAAGAGGGTATCCTGAAGCTCCCCATAGATGTCAACAGTTATCATATGTAATGGAATAAAAGTATATTTTTAGTTTTAAAACAGTTTCTTTTATTTCTCTTAAAAATTGCTATGAACTTTCCAAACAAACCAATATTTGTTATATCTGTTTGCTTTAAAATTGTTATCAGTTCTTTATTTCATTTAAATTAGGCAAGTAAACTTTCAAAATGATAGATTTGTTTTAATATGCTTCATTTTTTTGTCATTGCATGTATATATATACTGTATAATAAAAATAATTAAGAGGTAATCAGTTAAATTTTATTAAATATGACAGTTGGGTCGTCAGATGTCGGTAATGCAATCTAAAGATTGGAATATTTCATCATCATTAGAAGAAGAAAATAAAAGTACTCAGCAGTTGCTAGAAGTTATCAGGTATTAAACTTGCAATAAAATTATTTGAAATTAAAATATATAACATGTTTTATTTATCTTATATGAATAAATTTTTATTTATTAATTAATTTAAAAAATTTCAGATTTATCCATAAATGTATTAATTTATTAGTAATGACATTGATAATCATGTTTATTATTCCTATTTTATCATATTGATCATGGATATTAGATGCTGGACATTTTTATAAATTCATTTGTTGGTGATTAAATTAGCTAAGATAGCTTATATTAGAGTAGATAAAAAAAATATATAAAGTGTTATTTTTCTATTCTCAATATATAAGTATTACAAAGGTTTTCTGGTTATTTTTATTTACTGTATATCTTGGAAGATAAGATGAGGTATAAATTTTCATCAGAGTTTTATAGTTTTAGCATATATCTGCCCTATAAGACAATTCCCAAACTATTATCAGCCTATGAATTTAGTTTAGATCTGTGATCATCATCTATATAACAACACTGTATAGCGTATACGGAATTATGTCCTATTTGTAACTTTTTAAAAGAACATCAGATTTTATTTTCTTGCACCTGGCAGTACTGCCTTGCAATTGTTGCAAAAATTCACATTGATCCGGGCATTCGGGTAATGACTGACTATTCACAAAAACGTATGGTCTATTCTATTTTGTGGACATACCCTACTCTCTACTAGTAAATAATTATGGTTTGTCCATTTTACTATAATGGTTTTAATTTATATAAATTTCAATCTAGTTTTTTTTTGTATCTGTCCTATAAGATGACCCTGAATTTTCAGGGCCTTTTTTTTTTATGATTCAACTATTGTCTTATCTGCCAAGATATACGGTATATATTTTATAGAATATCATGTGTTAATACTTTCTAAGTGGAAAATAGAAAGCATTACTAGGACATTATGTGCCTTTGTTGCATCATGATAGAATTGAGGTGGAGTGAAAAAGAAAGAGGCGATCCTTGCATTTCTCATGTCTGGAGAAGTTGTTCCTTGCATTTGCTGACACAGAAGAGGAAGTAGTTGCACTTGCCAACATGGAGAGGCAATCCAAGAGCAAAGTAATCGACACCAATTGCTTTGTTCTTGTGTTTTGTTCATTTTTCACACCCATTTTCTGTTAGCTCATCCAATGTTTCCCCCTAAAATCCATTAAGTACAGTCATGTCAGGGAGTATGGACATTTGTCACTTTGACCACAAAGTATCTCAAAAATGAAAAGAAGAGATCACATAGGTCCCTCCCATATTCTTTTTACATTTTTAAGAACAAACTCAATTCTATAAGCCACATAGAAAACATGCTAGTGACCTTGAGACATTGTGTGACATTGTTTTGGTGACTGCAGTCTCATTATGATCTATCTAAAAAGTAAGTTGTGGATCCTCACTTTTTATTACAATTTTGGTTTCTTCATTACAATTAGTGGAATATTGCAACATTTATTAAAATCAATTGATCAAATTTTCAGAAAGAATGCAGTTCTGTAAGCCACATAGAAGAGGCTTTTTCTTATGCTTTGCCTCAAAGATATTTTGTTGTTATGTAATAAAATTCATAAAAAATTATTTAAATTTTATCTAGACTAGAAAATCTGTTTTAAATTATTATAAATGACAGCTATTTTATTATGAATTATTTGAATTAATAATTCATTAGTATTTATTTTTATCAATTTATAATTGTAAATTTTAAAAATATGAAATTATTAGCAGGTAAGCCCGGTGTTGGCTGGGCAAAAAATAAGTACAAACAGATTATTGACTTATTTCGTACTTTAACCCTTTTATTATATTATATTATAGTATTTGATTTACATAACTACAAAGGTTATCTTACATAAGGGTTTATCATACCAAGTGACCAATCTGACACATTTGAAAAATTCTTTAAATTGTGTACAATAGAGGAATAAAGAATTTTTAAAATGTGTTAGAAGATTGGTTACTTGGTGTGATAAACCCTTATATAAAATAATGTTTATACAAATATTAAAATGAAAACTATATAAAGAATTTGGGTATTTTAGCATGTTTATCAAATACTTGGATGGTATGAAACGGCACAATTTTATTGGTCGGGTTGACATCATTTGAAAATACGATATCTTGAATAATTTAAGATATTATTTTTTTAATGTTAGCACTAACAAACTGTTTTTCATTTACATCTGAATATCAAATTGTGATCTGCCAGTGAATCAAATTTTGCAAAAACTGCATTGAATGTTTAAACTCTCACCCTCGAAAACAACTTAAATCATATTTTGTGCATGTTGATAATCTCGTATTATGTAAGTTTTTTGTTTGAATGCTACCATATCGATGGATGCAACAGGAAGAAGGGACTGTTGCAGATGGAGGTCAAAGTTAATTTGACCAAAAGTAATAGTAGTTCTCCTCCTGGCAGAGAGGATGGTCAACAACTATTACTTAATACTGGTATACTATTAATGTTTAAAAAAGTGATTCGTGTTAGACAGGTTGTGATATCCCTGCACATGATGAAAGTTGCTAACCTCAACGTCCGAAAGACTTGATATAACATTTGTTTAAATAAAAAAGTCTTGTAAAAATGCAAGAATAAGTGCTTTTATGTGATCCCATAAAAAAAACTGAAACCAGGTTAAAAAGCTAAAACTCAGCAAAAACATCTAAATAAAGGAAACTTTTGAAAGTTGTAGCATAAGAATACTGGAAGCAGACTTGACAGTAAGACTCAACACATGAATAAATAAAGTGTATATTACCACAGACTACAACTACAGGAAATTTTGAATAAAGTAATGTCACATTGATAATAAATAGGAAAAAAACATTGGCACAGAAAAAGACTTCCAGCTCTATTTTGTGCCTTAAAATTATTGCAGTACATTAATTTGGCTGAACATTAGAACATCTTAAGCAGCAACAGTGAAAGGAGCTTGGGGCAATGAGTTTATGAGTTCATAAGGGGAGATGAAATGAGGGGAGGGGTGGGATGTCCATATTTTCTGGTAGTTAAGTATGGCCTCATAAATATTGCATTTATAGAAATATTATTAGAATTAGTTTGATTTATTTGATTATGGCAATGTGATGCATGAGTGATCTGCAAAGGAGGATGCATTCTGGGAAGACTTTTATGTAAAGCTGGCCCCGTTTTAGTGTTACTAATGCAAAGAAAACCAGAAAAGTCCACGTGGCCAGTTTGTTGGCCATAGGTGAACGCACTACCAACTACCGGTGTTTTTGGTGGTTTTATCCATTTGGTTACCAGATGGAACTTATTGGACTTCAGTTTGAAAAAATTGTAGACCTATAAATTCCCACTGCTGTCCATTCATCTCTGTCCTTTCTTAATCTCGAGAACAGAGTTAGATAGATAAAAGTCAAGACCAGACATGGAAATTGTAAGATAAAGATGATCAGATTAACTGTATGTGAACTTTAGACTTGTACCGCAAGTCATGTTATTTCAATATAAAATTTCACTGAACGGCATTAGATAAATAACTGACGAGACTATCGCCAACAGGAAAAGTATGATGTACGGGGCTAAACACTACTATACTCCACGTAGGCAAGTGCTATGTGCTATCTGTTGCAATAATGGCGTAATGGCATGCCTATTTCATGCTATATCATTGTTACAGTAATTAAGTGAATATAATATATCTTTTTTAAATTATATCTTTTTTTGTAAGAATTATATTTAGTTAATTATTTTGTTAATTTTTTCACAATAGATAGCACTACATGTAAAGCCAGCAATCAAATGTAGACAGAAATTAATCAATATATAGAAATCAAATCAATAATTTGGGGTGAGATGTACGACACGATTTAAGTTAGAAGTATGTGAATGTAACTGCCAAGTTTTGTAGAAATTGGTCGAACAGCCTAGGAGTGCATAGCGAACAAACAAACATCCTCATATATATATATATATATATATATGTATCTAGATCAGGGATCGATAACCTATGGCACATGTACCAAATGTGGCATGTGGAACGATTTTCAGTAACACACTGATTGAATAGAAATTAGTAAAAATTAAATTTTACTTGTTAATTTTTGAAGTCCATTATAATTGGACCAATTTCAATACTATATATAACAAAATTGGTAAAATCATGTTGGCACCCAGAATACCACTAACTTAGGTTTAGCACAAAACCACTGAAAAGTTGTTGACCCCTGATACAGATTATTAATAAACTGGTATTTGCCAGTAATCAATAACATCCAATGCTGTAAAATGTATAAATTATTGAAAAATTCAATATATGGTAGAATATAATTAAAAATTATGGCTATGCTTATAAAAATTTCCAAAAGTTTTGCAAGACTTTGCAATTATAGTGAACACATTGTACCATGCCAATAATAATATGATCTTAATAAATTAAATTTATGTGAAAAAGTTAAATTAATTCAGTTTTTTAATTCATACAATAATTGTTTATTTTAATGATCAAAATTTTATTTAAACATATAAATAAATTAAATTTAAAGGTTTTTGAGAAGAGAAAAGGAAATTGCTATAACTGAAAATGAAGGAATACAGTCGGAGAATATAAGACTGAAAGCGCAGACAGAATATTTGAATAAAGAAGTAAATGAACTTAAAAAAAGCTTAGTAGATGAACAAACTCACAAGCAGGTATTTATTTATTTAGTTTTTGAATGAAATTTTAGGTACGTTCTTTACTCTAAGAAAGTTTTGTTTTTAGACAATGGCTTCCACTGAGGCTAAACATGCAGAATTGTTAAAGAAGATTGAAATGTTTAATGTTCTGAGCGAAAGTAATCGATTACTTCGTAATGAAAAAGAAAGCTTGATGCAAACTCAGATGGAGTTAGAAAATAAGGTATTCTTTGTTATTTAATTAATAAAAATTTTCAAATATCATTATGTTAATAGAAATATAGAAAGACAAGTAATATTTAATTCATAATATATGGTTGTTTATTTTGAAAAATAGCAGACAGAAATCTGTTATGATTAGTAGAAATCATAACCTTTCTTCCCTCTCTTTGTATTGTATTTGTATAGATCTAACAATGTTTCCTTTTTATTTGTGTTGAAATAGTTTGAATTTCTTTTCTTTCTTTTGCTTTTAAAATTTGTAATAAAACACAAATTGAATAATGGAAATTGTTTTATAAAAGATATAATTATTTCCAGCCATATGGATAGTATATTAATGATATATGGATTATGGATAAAGGTATATGGATGTATATTAAGTATTTTTATCATAAATGTGATTAAATGTTTTTACAAAAACAATAGATTGATGAATAGATTGATACTAATGAAAGTAGATGGAATAAAATTGTAACGTTAGTCACAATTTTATTCCATCTACTTTCATTAGATACATTANAGTGACGAATAGCAAGCAGTAGCCAACATACGCACAGTTCAATGATAACTCGAAGACTCTGTCCAACTCATCGACCCCTTTCTTTTTATTAGGGATCTGCATTGGTTTTTCCCATGGCCTTATTATGAATTTTTCTATCACCATCCAATAGTTGAATGTTCTGTCATGGATTCCGGGTGACACACTTGATGTATCATCTTCAACCAGGAAATAAGTCCGTGGGAAAACAATTTAATTTTCTTTAAAAATGTAGGTTTTTGTTTTCTCTCTTTAATTTTTTCTCTCAACAAAAAATATATTTAAACAAAATAATTCCACTAAGTTTGGCTCTCACAGTACTATGAGTAGTTAAAATATATAAATATTGTCATTTGTCTTGATTAGAATTTTGTAATCAAAAATAAATATATTGTAAAAATTTAAATTTGAATACAAACAAGTTTTATATTTTAGCATTAAAATATAAATACAGTGAATTCTCAATCTATTGTTTTCCTGCATCTGTCCCAAATAAAGACCCATACATATAATGTTAATTTTTTAGTATTCTTTGTTCTCACAATGTTTGCTCTGTATTTTAACTGAAAGAAAAATGTTATTTCACATCAATCATTTTACTCACAATAGAGGATGCTAAAAATAAAAGCACATCACATTTAATACTTAAACCCTTAACTACAGCTAGCCAGTTTTTATTGTGATTTTTGGCTACTTTTTGTCTCCTGCTTTACTAAACATTGTCCTTTATTGGTGAAATTGCCTCTTAAAGCCTGGCAACATGTGTAAAAATTAGCACGTTGTCTCAGGTTGTCATCTGTATGATAATAGAGTTTTTTGTACGATAATTTCATAACTGTGCCATTTTATAAATATTGCTTTTTCATTGACATTTTTGTTTTTTTAGCCACCAGAGGGCTACTAAATTTTTGGAAGTTTATAGATTGGCTACTGCTCTATATTCTTGTCTATAAGACACACTTTTGTCATACTTTTCCAGACTGTTAACTGCTATACTTTTAGACCTACTGATAAAATGCTCAGATTGATATGAAAAGAAAATTTGTGAAAATAAATGTTCTGTTGAAATGCCATTATGCTTATACTTGTACAAAATGTAATAAAATTATTTATGTAGTACCTATAAAGCAGTTTCCATTTAGTGAACTGTCTAGAACTGAAACTTTTTTGACATAAGACATTGAGGAGTGGACTAAAAATTTTAGACATTTCAAAAGCTTGGAAAAACTAAGGTGTCTGCATATGAAATAAGTATAGAATATGAAGGAATGTGTTACATATTTGTTAATGTTTGGTGTGTTGATATTGCATGAAAAAACATGCATTTTTAGCTTATGCCTATTCAAAGGTTTGTTTTGTATCATATATTGTAAGGGAGAGTTGTGAAAATGTCATTGTAAAATGGGGTCTAAAATTTTTTTCTTGTAAAGAAGGGATCAAAGATAAAAAGTTTATGAGATTCTGACATAGGGTGAACCTTGTTAATATTTCTATGGATAAAGGGAGTAAGTATAAAGATTGAGATGGATGTTTGATAATTTAAAGTGAAATACGATAATTTCAAGGAGCAGATATGATAATTTTCTCTCAAGGTTGGCAACTCTGTATTTTCTTGAGGTAGGGGAGATCCTGTCTGGACAATGAGAAAAGTCAGAACTCTTTTCCACAAGAGAATCAACACATCGTAAGTGACATAAATTTATAATTTCACTAACATTTTAAACACTTTCACGGTATCATCTTCAAGTGCAATAAAAGAGTCAATACATTAAGTATTCTTACCAAAAGAATATAGAACAAATTTCATTATTCTTAAGAATTTTTTAAAATTCAGAATAAACGAACATCAGTGTGCATGTTCCACACCATTTAGTATTACATAAAGCCATCATATAAGCCTATCACTGAAAAATACACATTTCACATAAGATAAGCAATAAAAACATCAACATCATAAATTTCCCATATCGATCATTTTCCCACATCAGTGGTGTTTTTCCCAAGTCCTGCCAAAAACGACAGATTGAGAATCCACTATATATAATACAGTAGAATCTCATTTTAATTGATCATGGAATAACAATTTTCTTTCCAAGTCTTGCAAATTAATGTAATTTTACCTCCTTTTAGCAAACTGAAACTTGGAATAACAGACTTTTTCTAGCCTCGTCTATTGTAAACTTTGCACTTTTTCAATGTTTAGTTAATATTTAGATGTTTTCAGGAATTTGTAGAGTTTGATGATGCACTTGTTAGATCTGGGATATGTACAGTTGAAGAATTGTATGAAGAGAGTTAGCAGGCTCATACAATAGAGGAGAAATCATCTAGTGAACATTCTGACGCTGATCCAAGTGTAGTGCCAAAATTTAATGATGCCATTGAGTCTCTAAGTCATGAAGACCTTCCATAAACAAATAGACTGTACATGACATTGCTAATATTGAGCAGTTATTGTATTCAAGAAGCAGAAAAGCTCCATCAAAACAAACCAAGATGGACGATTTTTATTTTAAAAAATCATGAAGTCAAGCAAAAATGCTAACAAGCATGTGTAATTTGCCTCTTTTTCTGTGCTTACAGTATATACAGTTTCCAACATCTTTGTCATATGCACGACATAATATACGATCTCATAACATCATGTTTCTATAGAATAGAGATCTCAAGAGACCGAATGTTTTCAAGTACTAGTATTTCTTTTATGTAGCAGGTTAAATAACTATTATCTTCCTGGATGTGCAGGAAGTCCATTGTTTGTGATATAACAGATTCTCAAAACCAAGGATGATTTTCGGCAGCCCAAGCAATCTGTTAAAATGAAATTTTACTGTATAAAATATAAAATTTATTATTCATATTTTAACTTAAAATATTTTTTATATTTATAAATATTTTCAGAGGAAGAATTTGAAAAAATTAATAGTATGAAAGTTCACAGTGAATCTAAAGTGTCAGTATTAGAAAAAGAATTAACTGCATCCAAAGAGAATTGTGAAAAATTAGAAAAGCAAATAGATGAATTGAATCAGAAGGTAATGTATAATTATTGGCTTTTATTTAATTAAATAAGCCCATTCGGTTTTGTTATTCAGAAATAATGTTTTTTTTTTTTATTTCAATAAAATGTAGTTAACAATATCTGACAAATTAAAAAGAATTATTACATTCCACTATACCTTTAAAATGCAGTCTACTTTGGATAGTTCTCTAACGTTTTCTTTATAAATAGCTAATGGACATGCGCGATCGAATATCTGAAGATTATAGAACGTGCATTGTTTGAATTACCGTTGGGAAAGTTCAAATTTTTAAAATTTTTTTACATCAATCCTGAAGAAGGTCTATGAATTAGACCAAAAACGTTAGAGAACTATCCAAAGTAGACTGCATTTTAAAGGTATAGTGGAATGTATTAATTAATAATGCAGTTAGAGATTTAATAAAAAGAATTATATTTTCAAGATACAATATTTATATATTATTAAACATTAAATTAAGAACTGTTTTCAGCTTTACAAAGCTAACTTTTCTTAAGATATGCTTATTTAACTAGAGTTGTCTTAAATGTTAATTTAATATTGGTATTGTTTATAATTAATTGCTAAAACCAACAAAAAGAAAATGTATGATATGTAAATAAATTCTGAATATACTTAAGTCCTAAAAATATAAAAACAGAATTTGTTAAAAGTATTGATATTCTTAATTTTATTAATTATGATAAAATATATTTTGATTTTCAAATTTATTTATTTATCTGTCTGCTTATAAAGAAATAAAGTTTAAATAGCTATATTTAATTTAAATATCGTTGTTATTATTGAAATTAAACTCTAGTTGGGAAATGTTAAGATAGCAGCTGAGGTTTAACATATATTCAATATCCAAAACTCATAACTGAAACTAAATTAAGATAACTATAGTATATCTCTGCTAACTTGGACTGATAAGGAAAAAGGGTATCCAAGTATATGAAAGTCTGGGCTAGCAGGGTATGTTCTCCAACAATGTGGAAAATTAGAAGGTGGATATACAGTACAGTAATTTATTATTATTGACTGTATACAGAAATTTTACTGAACTTTAATAGATTATAGTGCTGAATTTATTATTACAGGAAAAAGTTTTATAGTAGTTCAATATAGTGTCTTTAGTAACTTATTGACTGCAGTAATATAAAGCATGGTATTGCAAAGACTTCTGGATATGAAAAACACTTGTTAATTATAATTTTTATATTGTCAAAAAATTTTAAATTACTGTACAATTTTTTGAAAAATTTGTCTAAGTTATACAAAATCTGAGTTGGCAGGGTTTTACTGTATAAATAAAAATTTCTCTTGCTACCTCATACATCATTGCCATAAACTTCAACCAGTTGCAGTGAATTTCAACAAGAATTTGTTATTAAAATGCTAGAAACATTTAATTTCTGATATTTTAAAAACAAATTGCAAAATGTATCTCTCAGTTAGTGGGATGTTGAATTATCTTTAACATGTTTATCACAAAATTGTAGAAATGGTCTGTTATGCACAATTTTGATTACCAGCTGTCTACTGAGTTTGGTCAATTACATAAAGTAATTTGTCATCGACTCTATATAGACACTGCATGTAAGTGATTATTGCTTTCTGTATGACCCTCATATACAGCGTAGAGCAGAATTTTACACCAGTGTAATTTTTTTAAAAACACTTGAATTATTTAGAGTATAGATGGACAAATTTTTACAAAATTATTTAATGTTATCTCCTAATGACTTACACCAAGTATCATCCAAGTCAATTAATCCAAACATTAATTATGTAAAAACAACCATTTCAAGGTGGTGCAAAATTATGCCATCTTCTATTTATTCACTGAATTGAAGAATTGAAAACAAAAAAATATTTATACATTATTCGATTTTTATTTGTTTGGAAATAATTGCAAGTATATCCTTTGGCATTTATTAAATTTTTGAAATCGTGTTTTTTAAGTCTCTTATCCTCAATGATGATGATGACATCATCATCATCGAAGATAAGAGACTCGATGACATCATCATCGAGATATTTTCTTTTACTTGGGTTCTGGATAAGTGCATAAGGGATCTTCCATTTGAAATTGTCTTTTTTTAAGTCTCTCATCCCCGATGATGATAATGAGATGACGTTTTTAATATCAGAAAGTAGCTTTCTGATATTAAAAACGACCTCCAATGGGTTTTTAAATTTTTTTAATTAATATATTTTATTATATATACGTTTAATTAAGACAGGGGGGTCGGAAATCGCAATAAAAAAACGTAATTTTTTAAAAATATTTAAAAATATACGGCCAGCTAGTATNAGATGGAATAAAATTGTAACGTTAGTCACAATTTTATTCCATCTACTTTCATTGTATATGTAGTGAAACAATGAAACAATGTTTCATTGTTTCACTACATATACAATGAAAATTTTGCACACTACATATGAAACAATGTTTCATTGTTTCATATGTAGTGTGCAAAATTTTAAGATTTTATATAAAGCGGTTGCTGAAATATAAGCAATTGAAAAGTGAAAAATTTGCCAAAAAAGCTGTATTTTCTTCTCATTTCTTTTCTTCATCCAGCACTGCAGATGCTCATAGAGAAAAAAACTACTTTGTCTAGAAAGCTCAAATTTTAAACTTAAGCTTTTGTGGTTATTGGTGAGATGCTTGCGAAACTTTCAGTCGATAGATCAAAGTTCAAGAAGTTTCTAACTGATCTTATGTCTTGACATAATAATACAATTATTAAACAAAGACAATTGATATCCAAACAAAAACATCTGAGATTTAAAAAAATTTTGCCAAATAAAATTTTATGACAATTTAGACAACAATCAAAATTTATCTTAAGAGTTTTTCTTTGGTAAAGAGAAGTTTTATGCTCAGAAGTGGTACCCACAAGATTTTTGACTATGTTATTGTTTTCTACATTCTGTCTCCAAGTGCCAAGCTTATCTTTACCAAAGATAAGCTCTTAAGAAAAATTTTGATTGTTGCCTAAATTGTCATAAAATTTTACTAGGCAAAATATTTTTACATCTCAGATGTTTTTGGTTGGATATTTACTTTTTTTTTTTTTTTTTTACTCTTTCTGCATATATTTAAGTTCTATAAATAGATGTGAAGTTATTGTTTTTGATATTATCATTTTAAATATAGTTATTTTTTAATAAATGAAATTTTTAAAATTATATCAAGTATTGTAGAAAGAAATTGTGAATATTTGTAATTTAATTGGATTTTTCTTTTATTTATATAGATAGAACAAATGGATAAAGAAATGGGACCAATTAAAGAATTAAAAATAGAATTAAGTTCTCAAGTAGACGCTCTGAGTGCTGAAAATATTGCCCTTCGTAGCGAAGTAAAACGTTGGCAGACCAGAACCAATCAGTTACTCGAACAAACTCATAAAATGGGTCCCGAAGATTACAAACAATTAAGGTGATTATTATTAAGTAAGAGTTAATGTAAATAGTTATAAAACTATATATATTATATTTTTCAATTTTTATTTTCATTAGTAAAGAAAATGAAAATCTTCATAAGCAAGTTGCTACACTGACTGAAGAATTACATAAGAAACAAGCAGAATTGTCACTAGTCAATGCATCTTTAACATATGCCCGTAAAGAGATAGAAAACATAAAAACTGAAATGGTGAAAGAGAAATCTCAAACTGAGCAATTAAAACAGCAATTGGAAAATTCTAATAAAGAATGTGCTGACAGACAAAAGACTATATTACAGGTAGGTTTAATATTTCTGATCAGTTTCTTATTTAAATTTAATATTAATCAAAATAATGTAGTATACTTATGATTTTAATATAAATTTTATTGTAATTAATTTATTCATTCATTAATATAAAAGAATACTAATCTTTATGTGCTTATAGATTGCAATCAAATAGTGTTTACAAATTAACAACTATTTTTTAGTATTTGATTGAATGCTAATAAAAAAGCTTTAAAACATTGGTTCATTTCTGTATTAAATCTTATCTTATTGTTCTATTAAGATATCTTTATGTGTATAACAAATATATCTTTTTATTTCTGACATGTAATTTCCTGAAAATGGAATTTATTTTTAACTTTATTAACTTTATTTTTATTGAAAATATTTTTTAATTGTGATGAAATCATGCAATACACATTTTTTCCTGAAGAGTCAAAAGTTTAACTTTTTCAAATAACAAAATGTATAGTAGTATTAATTACCATCTGATAGGAAAAATATATTATAAAATTACTGACAAACAGAAGATTAAAAATCCTTGCTTGATTTGTTGCAACTGTAAAAATATTTAGCAGCTTTATCAATATCAAGAATGAGTTAAAACTGGTTTATTGAGCTGCAATTTGAAAAAATTGTAGACCTATAAATTTCGACCATTGTTTGTTTGTTGTCTGTCTGTCCCTTAATCTCAAGAATGGAGTTACATAAATGAAAGTACCAGATATGGAATGCTTAGGGACAAGAGGCACAGATTAACTACATATGAACTTCCAGTTTGACCAGAAGTCACGTTATTTCGATTCAAAAACTTTCTGCAAACAAAGTTAAATAGATGACCAGCACATTTCTATTGTTAATAGGAAAAGTATGATGTACAGGAGCAAGACACTTACTCAATACTAAAAGTATTGAGAACATTGTGATGAAAAATTGTAGTCCAGTATTGTGATGATGTCACAATAAATAATTGCTTGTGATAATTAACATTAAATAATGTCATTTAAAAATATAGAGAATTTTTTGGAGTTTATCTCTATAATGAAAATATTCATCTTTTTCAAATAAAGTAAAGAAAGAATTTTTGTAAACATACTTTGACAGAAAAGATTAGTTTCAATCACATATAAAAATATAAACACTGATTAATATAGCTTGATTAGTGTTACCACCCATCCGGTTTTTACCTGGACAGTCTGGAAATTGACTCACTGTCCAAGTGAACTATTAATTTTGTCCGGGATTTCATAGAAATTGTAAAATTACAATG